CCCCAAATAAAAAGACAACTAGCATAAACACGAACACTCTCAACCATAAAAGTGAATGTCCTATTACAAAATAGCTATTATACGAAACATACTAAACCATGGAAAAGCAAATTCTTCAACAAGAAAAATTTTCTATACTGAATTAAGAAATATTAAACAAACCCTCATTAATAATAACTTTATTAATTACATCGTTGATAAACAAATTCGACGAGCTATTGTGAATATTAACATAAATAAAAATGAACATAATATGTCCTCAAATAACTCTAAGCATATCAAATTATTATAACGTAATTAAATGTATTCTAACTATAAGCAGGAGGGAAATTTCTTAAAAGACTCATAAACACTAACATATCCCCCCACTGATGCAAGTAAAAAAATAAATAAAATGAATTATATACTATACTAAACTTAATACAGCCAACGTAATCATCCATAACATCTCTTCTCTGTCAACTAGCATCTTACAAAAGACCAACATCGTATATCAATTTAAATGTCCCTTGGGAGATTTCAGTTGAATTGATCATAGTTCAATCTCGGAACATTTAAAGGAACACTCATGTCGACATTCACAGTTTAGACATATATTAGTCGAAAATACATCAGTGTTTAGTCAAGATAACAATATGCAAAAACTTCCGGAAGCCCTTTATATAAGAGAATTGCGGCCAAAAATAAATAAAGTCAACTACGAATATAGCAACAAAGTTCTTAAATATTTGTAGCAGCAAAGTGTTATAGAAAAAAAGAATACTAAATTAAAATACTAAAATTTAAAAATATTTTTTTAAAATCACATCCCTTGCATAGCGGTGAAAAAATATTTTGAATTTACGGTGTTAACGCATAGCATCCATAGATATGCCAGCCCTGAAGATGGTCTTAGACGAGATTGAAAGTACTTGGGAAAATAAAATTATTTGAAAGATTTTCAAATTTTTCTTGACCAAATTTTTACAGCCACCAAGAAATTAATTCGTGGACTTGAAAAGATTAAAACTAAAATAAATAGACATAATACGTCTAAATTATGTACAGTATTTACATTAGTCGGACTATTGTCCTCATCTTTGTCGAAATATTTGTCACAACGTTTCGGCCGTTGTACGCTCCGGCCTTCTTCAGGTGGTTGGAATTTCGAACTGAACCCTTTATTTCGATCACTGGGGTAGACTGTTCTAGTTCCACGTGCCATGTTTGATGGATGTCAGTTATCAGTTAAGCTGCCCAGGTCTAACATAACAAAACTGGAGAGACTGGCGATTGAATCACTACAGAGGAACGAAAACATCATCATACTACCGGCTGACAAAGGTAATGCGACTGTAGTGATGGACAAATCGGACTATACAAGAAAACTGGAAGACCTCATTAGCAATGGTAGCTACAGCATAGTGAAGAAAGATCCTACTATGAAAACGGAACGCAAACTGTCACAGATCCTAATCAAGAATCAATTCCTGGTTAAGGCAGTGGAGAACTTTCAGAGGGAAAATTAGCAGGAGATAACTGATAACTGACATCCATCAAACATGGCACGTGGAACTAGAACAGTCTACCCCAGTGATCGAAATAAAGGGTTCAGTTCGAAATTCCAACCACCTGAAGAAGGCCGGAGCGTACAACGGCCGAAACGTTGTGACAAATATGGCGACAAAGATGAGGACAATAGTCCGACTAATGTTAATACTGTACATAATACCTCATCTCAGAAATATAGACACGTCTAAATTATTTTAACATGCTTGAATATATATATATATATATATATATATATATATATATATATATATATATATATATATATATATATATATCATATTTTATTATTTTTTTAATTCTGTTTTATACCATTTTCTCTTTTAGTTTTTATAAACTCATAACAGAGAGTCAACATAAAACCCATAAATGACATTGTCTTTGCTGACATTGTCTTTTTTATTGCATTCTTTTTTTCTCTCACTTTCTTTTTCTCATTCTCTTTTCTCTCTTCCTCTCTGTCTCTCTCCCCCTCACGCTTTCTTTCTTTCTCTTTCTGTTTCCCCCTCCTTCCTTATAGTATTCTGCTCGCTTTTCTAAGTGCTTTGAAGGGCTTCATACAGATGAGGGCCAAGCTACAGACATAAACATTTCCTGTTTCATTTTGTTTTGTTTTTAAGTATCTCTCCTTGCACCGACAAAATACTTCAGCAAACTTTTTTTTTTAAGTCTTGCCTCGACCTGTAAATTTAATAGCATTATAAATGCAATCCCAAATCCGATAGTCCGACCATAATCAAGTTGGACTGGTTGGATTATCAAACGCGAAGAGGTTAGATTACATACTAACAAGTCAACTCTATCATTTCTGTGTTATTCAAGTATCGCAACGAACTTCGTACGAAAAAGAAAACGCTTTCTAAATGATTTAAATGTTTTCTTTGGAGTTAAATTTTGATTTTAATAAAGCTAATTCGTGAAAAAAAAATTACGTATATAAATAAAGTTTTTAAACAAATTAAAATATTAATAGTGTCATATCGAGTCGTCGAACCTTCATTATAGATGTTTTTTTTTTTTTTTAAATGAACACAGCAGATTTAAAAATCTCTTAAAAATTCAATATTTTCTGAGATATTTGTTTAAAAGTACATTGGTAAATATGTCGTATCCTGTCAGCGCTCCCACATTTTTTAAAAAAACAACTAGAAGAAAAACCATGTTGTAAAACTTATTCAGGATATAAAGAGACCTCAGAAGCAACAAGATAAACAGGCGTTTTGCGGCTCTGCCAGACAAACATGCAGCTGAGGAAAATAATATATTTAGGTACCGGCCCTGAGAAGCAGCTGCCCGAGGCTGCACTCTCTCATTGAAGTAGAGAGTGGTATCAGTGATTACCATCGAAGCCAGCGCAACTAACGATTGCCATGGCTTGGCCAACATTTATACTTGGCCTAAGAGTATGCGCTTGGGTACCTTACGTGAAGCCTGACTTTGTGTCACATCCAGTCTCGAGGCATGGGCGTTCCGCGGTCAAAATGACAATGATCAAAGTGTAGTATCTTTACCATTCAACAGTTGGACCCATGCCTTCAACTATCAGCAGCAGTCTCAGCTAGACATCATCATCCCCAGCTCTCCATCGGCTGACGCTCCGGTCATCTTCAGTGGGCCTCCAGCTCCAGCCATCCTCACCAATAGCAACGATATGCATTCTTTTATATGCCGTGTCCGTTCAGGACGTAGACGATCATGGCTCTCCACTTCCCCCTATCCTTTGTAGTTCTCACTAAGTTTTGTTCCTTTGCTACTTCCCCCAAGGTCATGTTCTGTCATCCACTTGCTTAAGCCCGCTATGTATGTCATGCGTTGCTTTACCTTGTCTCCCTTTCCCTCTATTCGCCCTGTGAGTGTCAGATTCTCCACGCCCTCCTTTCTTATTACGTGTCCCAGAAATTTCAGCTGCCTCTTCCTGGTGTTAAGTATAAGCTTCTTGCTTGTTTGCATCCTCGTCAAAACTCATTACTGTCCTTTTCAAGTCTTCCCCTATTAGAAAACTGTCCTTATCGGGACAACACTTTTCTCCCATTCTACATGAGTTAATTTTTGCTGTGACATTATTTTTGTTGATGCATTTTTTTAACAGAAATAATCTTTACAGAAATCTTCGTTTTTTTGTCTGTTTGTTTTTTTTTTTTTTTTTTTTTTTTTTTGTCATTGTCTTTCGTAATACAATATCTGTTTGCTGATCAATATACCGCCTGCAACAAATTTAAGGATTAATTAACTGGATTTTTAAAAAGAAATGCTTACTTTTTACTTAAAACATACCGAAAATCATATTTACTTTTGCGTGAGCCATTTATCATCAAGGACCCAGGTCAACAACTGTCACTCCCAAAGCGGGGGCATAATTCTAAAAAGTACAAAGTTATCAAAAGAACCACAATTACGAAATTGGTATTTCCCATGCTTAATAATAAATTATCTTTAACCTTAAATAACCAATAGTTTTAAGTTTATTCTGTATGCTTTTAAAACAAATAACTATGAAAACCATTTTTTTTTATCCATAAATTTATCAAAGATGTCTGTGAACAAGAGATCATAAAAAATTTTAAAAACACATCACTAGGAATAAATGTAATTACCAATTTTGAGGAAATGTATTTTCCAGTTATTTGTTTCGCTTACTTTCACCATTGTTTATTTGCAAAAATAGTATTTAATATGTTTGTTGTCAATTCTCGTGGGTGTGTGGGATAAATTCGCTTTCATTTGTTTGGGCATTATCAACATTCTAAAAATAGATTTTTAAAAAAAAATTACCGAGGGAGTATACTGTAATACCAGCTCAAAAGCTCCGTACTTAAATTCACATACGTACTTAAAAACGACAATAAAATCCCGTTCATTTTGACGCACCATTTTTTTTGTTTTTTGTTTGTTTTGTTTTTTTTTGTGTGTTTTTTTTTGTTTTGTTTTTTTTTTTTTTCGGTTTGCCAAATTTTATAATTTATACAATGTTAGAAATATAAAGAAAGAAATTTACTAAACTATAGAAGTGTAAAAAATGATGGTAAATTTTATAAAGACTTATTGAAGGGATACTTTTGATTGATTGTAGTCACTTCACAAAAATATTTCCTTTCTGAACTTCCGTACAGAAAGAATCTGTTTTAAAGAATAAAAATAAAGAAATAAAATTAATTTAAAAACGTCCACACTCGAAAATGGTATTAAACTTCACATTTTCGAATTCTTCAAATAAGTTTTTATTAAAAACAACAAAAAATATTCTCACAAGCAACGGGATGAATTTCAAAATCGTACTGAAAAATTAGCAGTCAATTTTTTTTTTAAATAAATGTTCACTGTAGAATCTTTTTTCTGTTAAATCTGATAAAAATGAGTTTAGTTTGGTTTGGTTTGGTTTGGTTTGGTTTGGTTTATGGCATATCAACCTCAATGGTTTATTTAATGCCGACAAGATTTTTATTGCTGGTAATATGTTTTATCTATCTCTATCTCTCTCTCTCTCTCTCTCTCTCTCTCTCTATCTATCTATCTATCTATCTATCTTGGCCTCTTCATGTCTCTCTCCTGGACTCTTCATATCTATCTATCTATCTATCTCAGTATATATTGGTTTGGTTTGGTTTGTTTTACGGCATATCAACCTAAATGGGTTATTTAATACCGACAAGATTTTTATTGCTGGTAATATTTTTTATCTATCTATCTATCTATCTATCTATCTATTTATCTATCTATCTATCTATCTATCTATCTTGGCCTCTTCATGTCTCTCTCCTGGACTCTTCATATCTATCTATCTCAGTATATATTGGTTTGGTTTCGTTTGTTTTACAGCATATAAACATCAATGTGTTATTTAATGCCGACAAGATTTTTATTGCTGGTAATATTTTTCAAAAATATATTGTTGTTAATATTTTTTTTTTCAAAAATGTATTGATGGGAATTTGTTTTTGTTTTTGTTTTTTCCTGGTGATATTCTTGTTTTTTTTTTTTTTTGCTGGAAATAGTTTCTTTTTGTTGGTAATATTTTTTAGTTGGTAATATTTCTTTTGTTGGTAATATTTTTTGCGAGTAATATTTTTTTTCTGGTAATATTTTTTTTTGCTGGTAATAATTTTTGCTGGTAATATTTTTTGCTGATAATATTTTTTGCTGATAATATTTCTCTTTTTTGATGGTAATTTTTTTTTTTTTTTTTTTGCTGCTAATATTTTTTGGCTGGTAATATGTTTTTTTTGCTGGTAATATTTTTTCTGGTAATATCTTGGGGGTGCCTGAAATTTTTTTTGCTGGTAATTTTTTTTTTTTGTTTGCTGGTAATATTTTTATTTTTTTTTTTTTGCTGGTAATATTTTTTTTTTTTTCAAAAATGTATTGCTGGTAATAATTTTCACAAAAAAGGATTGCTAGTACTAAAACCAATTTTTATATTTTCATAGTGTATTGACCCTTTTGGGAGGTTCTATTTGCCCATAGCTTGGACCCTAACAGGTGCTACCACACTGGGTCAGGTTGAACCTGGGAACACCAACAATTAAGAGTTGATTCCACGCTCCTCAAAACCTCCTGATCAGAGGCCTTGCTGTCGGATGTAGTTTATCGTCTTACCCAGGACACGGATGTAGTTTATTGACCTTCTTCTCTAATATTTTCTTTTCTCGTTTTTATCACCTGTGGAACACACTTCCAATTAATTTTTTCCCTACTAACTACAATAGCCTTCCTTTAGTTCTTTTGTTTTGGAGGTACTGTAGATTTCCTTCTGTGTCTACCATAAACACAGTGTCATGATATTCTCAGCATCCTTCTGTAGAACCACATTTCTGCTGCTTCAAGTCTCTTCGTTATCTGTGAGGAAATTGTCCAGTATTTATTGCCACACAAGAAGATTTGTATTACATAAAGATTCTGCTCTTTTCATTTTTTTTTCCTCAGTACATTTTGTCTTATATCGAGAATTTGAATTGTGGATAAATTGGGCCACTGACACCTGATTCCAAAAGAGTTCGCCACGGGTCCATTTACAACAAAATCTATTATTTCCGGCCCAACTTCAGAAAAGGACATTTTTTAGGCGACACCGGTTAAAATGAAAGCGACCTAATTTAAGGTTTCTATATTTACATTGATTACTAAAAAGAAAAACCCAGTTGCTAAACAGGTAGCAGCCCGAAAAATAGAATAGTTGAGTTAGTACATTAAAAGCAAATTATTCGAAAAGGTGGGTGGCTCTTAGAAAATTGCATTAGAAAATTATATGAATAAATTTTCAATTATTTCCTATATTTGTTTATCTCGAATTCCAGTCGAATTCGTTACATCCATTAGCGGAATAGTAGAATTTATATCTGGAAAAATCATTGTAATCTCTAAAACAGGGGTCGTCAATCTCCGGCCCCAGGGCCACATCCGATTTTTGTAGGACCCGCGAAGGATTTTTGTCTGGCCTGACAACTTTAACTCAAGTAAAGAATTTGCATTTTTTGTTGATTGTGTTAGAGCTGTTATCCTGTTGTTCCCTCAGTAAAATATGGAACCTTGTTTAAATAATATAGCATTAACTTCGTTGTTTTTTCTTTAAACTTCCAGACCAAGGCAGCCTTCAGGACGGAGCGGTCTAAGGTCGAAACAATTTAATATAGAACATTTTATATCATGGCCCTTCTTCGAGACACTGCATAACTGTCTGGCCCGATCTCTCCAAAACGTTGTCACCACCGCTGTAAAATAGTATTAACACAAAATTCACTCGCAAAAGACCAAAATATGTTTCGGTTTTAAATAACCCACAAAGGGTTGGTAATCCGTAAAAAACAAATCACTCACTCAATCAATATATTTATTTAGTTTTTTATGTGTTTTTGTTTTTGTTTTTTGTGCACGCTGGACCGTTTCCTCACAAAGAAGAGACTTCAGGCATCAGAATGCTTAGACGGGACATGTGAGCAACGTGGAAGTTTAGACGAAAATGGAAACAAAAAGACACGTATATTTACAAACAGAAAGAGAGTTTTGAAATTTCTAGGACCCATAATGAAGAAAGAAGATTAACACTAACTTGTATAAAGGACTATAGGGGCCAAACATTGCTTGTAGCTACACAGAATAGAGAAAGGAGAACATCTTTTCCTTTTTTTTCTTCTTTTTTTTTTAATCGAGTTCACCCCAAGCAGGGCAGTTTAAGCCACTAAGACAAAATGGGGTTACTTGGTTTGGGAGAATTATAAAACAGAAAGCATCACGAAAGAGTAAGAGGTGTAATCAAGAAAACGGTAGATAGCGATTGACATTGCATTTAAATTTTTGAAGATTAAAGTCGACAGAAAAGTACGAGAGAAGAAACTGTAAGCATAGAACTTACGGTTATATCAAGCCAATTCAACTGTGAACTGATGAGACCTCACCGCCACTCTAGTACAGCGCTTAAATTCCTAAAGTTTAGGTACCATAGCAAAGATCACTTTCGAACAATTACCATGCTTTGTATTGTAGCAAATGGGGCGAAGTTGGAATATGGCTTACTTACAACAAACGAGAAAACAAATAAGCAACAATCAAACCAATAAACTGCGACAAAGATTCAACACACTATGTGCTAATAGCAAGTAGAAATATGTTGGAAGATCAGATCGAATATAAAGCTATCCAATACCAAACTGAAAGCCTCGGTTTAAAATTTGCTACCGGTTGACACAATACCTAAGATAACAGAGACGGAAGACATCAAAGACTCCATTCAAAGAATAATCACTGCCACTAAAGAAAGCAATAATGAAGGAATTTTATTACAGTGGCACTTAAATAGACTAAGGAAACTAGCAAAAAATAAGGAAATCCCTCAGGCAAGGATGGTGGGATTGTTATCATGAATAAGAACACAGCTCTTACGGAAGCACAAAAAAATTAACAATGCGATTTTGGAAAAGTAATTAAAAATGAAAACAAATCATAGTATAGACTAATAAAATAACTGGGTATACCCTAGTATACCCAGATTTTATGGTAAACCTTAACTGATGTAAAATAAAATATTACTGGATTGTTTCGCTTAAGTTAAAGACTTCATCTATATCTATATCTCTCTCTCTCTCTCTCTCTACACACACACACACACACACATATATATATATACATATATATATATATATATATATATATATAGAGAGAGAGAGAGAGAGAGAGAGATAGTAGATGCATTTAATTCCTTGTGGAAGTTAAGGTGGGGCTTTACCTTCAAAAGATGATAGTGAATCTTACATTTGGTGACGCCAATTTATCCCGAAGGCCTACACTTTTTATTAGCTTGCTCTGAATCGTCCGTCTTAATGTACGATATTGTCACATGATTGGCTGCTCACCTAATTTTATATATATATATATGTGTGTGTGTGTGTGTGTGTGTGTGTGTGTGTGTGTGTGTGTGTATTTTCTTGGTGATTGACGAATCTTTAAAATGATCAGATCTTTTGGAAGTTTCTACATTGCGATGTAATCGATACTGATCTGGCATTTCTGCTTCAATCCTTTTCTCACCGACGTGATGTAAATTCTCTGTCTTTTCACGTCAATCGTTATATATATATATGTGTGTGTTTGTGTGTGTGTGTGTTTCATTGAAGACCACTGACAGCATACTGCGATTAAGCTTTTTATATGATTTTTTCTTGAGTTCATGTAAGTATTTACAGAACTCAATAATTCGAAACAGACTCTAGTTAACAATGGCTTTCCGAACTCCCTCATCGATCACCAAATTAGACTACTTCTTTTTAAGATAACCAATAGTAATACTGAACATACAGATAAAAAATTTTCTATAAGCAAAATTATTTTTCCCTTAGAAACATAAAGAAATGCAAAACCCCAGTCGATCAGAACAAGAAAATTAAATCAATTACCTACTATAAAAAATTAAAAACAGCTTAATTTATCATTAACAATAAGAACATATCTGCAAGATCTAAATTTCAGGGAACCAATATTATTTATAAATTCAGATGCCCCTTAAGTAAATACGTTCCTGATCAAACCAAATTCATTCGCAATATTTTCCTCATCATTGTTGTTGATATCAGAAGATTTCGCCTGTGTGCCCTACGGCCTTTCTCGTATTAAAATATCTTTTTAGTTACTTTTTTTCATATTCGCACTGTTGTCCTCATATTTGTTGTTGTTGTCACAACCTTTCGCCCGTTGTGCTTTACTGCCTTCCTCAACTTGTAATAGTCTTTTTATTTACTTTTTTTAAATTGTCACAACATTTCAGCCATTCTGCCCTCCAACCTTCCTCGACCTATAATTATCTTTTTTATCTACACTATTCACATTCTGACTATTGTCCTCATCTTTGTTGTTGTTATCATATCATTTCAGCAATTGTTTCCCCCCTCCCCATCTCTCTCCCCCACCCCTTTTTCTTTTCTTTTCCTCTCCCTCCCTCTTCTTCTGATCTTTAAGATTAAATCGTCTATTGTGTGTGTATGTCACCACAAAATGTATCCTTTCCGGTTACATCTTTAATGTATTAGACATCCGACAACATTCATATTTCTCTCACTTAAACCGTCTTCAACTCACCTCTCTAAAACTTCTCTCTGCTAAGTTTTAATCTCGCACCTTCTCTCGTCTGTTACCCCTCTCTTTAGCTCTAACATTTGTCTCCCACTCTCATACTTACACTCACTCTAATTTTTTTTTTATTTCCGGGGTTGTTTTTTCTGTTTTCTTTTTGAATTTGTAGGTCTGATGAATTGGATCGTATTTACGATTCCAATGGAATAAATTATGACCATGGAATATTAGTGTTTAAGCCTTTTTTTTATATATATATATATATATATATATATATATATATATATATATATATAGTAATGCATCAAAAGGGTTAGATAAATAAGCAGAGAGAAGATTGATCAGATTTTGTAGATCATAAAAACTGACTAGGAAAATATTGATCATTCATTGAGTCTGAATTTATATTCCTCAATACCATAAATAATTTTGGCTGTTTTAAGTATTAAAGGGACAAATACAAAATAATTTTTAGGTCAATTTTTTTTTTTTTTTTTTTTTTTTTTGAAAGCTTGGTTAATTTATCATAATTATTATAAACTGCCTAATTTGACCTGTGAATTATGTAAAATAGAAAATGACAATATATTCGTACAGTATGAAAAATAAAAAAAAAATTGAACAATTTTTACAATATTAATAGTCAATAGCATGGCCTCTCATCTTTATAGCTTGCTGCAATCGTTTTCTGATGGTTTTGATGAGATTTGATCAAGTCTTTCCAGGGATTTTTTCCCTACCGTGTCCCATCACCTCATATCTAGGCAAATAAAATATCACATTGTTGGTCTAGAAGAGTATTTGAGCTTGTTAAGTGCGGATAAGTAACTGACTTTCACGTAATGATTAGGGAGTAGAGACAGAAATGCTGTTAACCCCTATTGTTAAACTTGACAGAAACCAATAAATTCAGTCCATCCAAATCTCTCTCCCACTTCATATATAGTGATTTTCTAAGCCCGGCTGATATGTGGCACAAGTCCGAAAGTATGACGCACCCAGTGAGGATCGAACTCACTCGTCAATCGTAACTGATCTAGCAAGACAAGCATTCTAACCATTACGCCACCTCGAGGTGCCCAAATTTTTTATGAAATTCCAATGTACAGTCAACGACGAAATTATTCGTACACCAATCAATTTTGAATATTTTTATCGATTTCTCAGAATCTAATGTCTGTATGATGCCAAGTTTTTTTATATGTTAATCAGCAAAAAGAAAGAAATATAATACACGATTTTCAGAAGAATACATTAAATACAATAAATTTGACAGGCGAATTATGGAAAATAGGAAAAGACAAAATTATTCGTACAGTAGAACATATCGCTTTAAATTGATTGAAAATAATTGGAAAATAGCTATTAATATAGCAATGGAATTAATTTAAACATTCCCTATTCGATTCCCAAATATGCCGGGTGTTTCCTAGCATGCACTTTTCTCATAACAAACGTCTTCTATACGCCGTGTCCCCTAAAGAAGTAGATAAGCACAGTCCTCTGCAACTTCCTGTCTTTAGTAGTTAGTGCAGTTTGGCTTTTTGCTAAAAAGAAAAATAAAACAAAAAAGGAATATAAAACTCTATTTTCAGAACAATAAGTTAAATACAACAAAAAAATCAAACAATTTTCACAATATTAATAGTCAATAGCATGATCTTTTATCTTTATAACTTACTGCAATCATTTTCTAAAATATTTGAGATTTGAACAAGTCTTTTCTGGGATTGTCTTCCATTCTTCAATGGTTACACGTTCTCATTCCTGAAGGTATTTTGGCGACCAACGATTTATTCGAATTTTCAATTCTTGCCATAGATTTTCAATAGGATTCAAGTCAGTGACATTGCATTTAAACTTTTGATGATCAAAGTTGGCTGGAAAGCATCAAGCCGGAAGAGATTTTCACAAGCGAGAAGTGTGAGAAATCATAGAACTTACGGTTACATCTAGCCAATTCAACTGTAAAATGATGAGACCTTGCTGCCAATCTAGTACTGCGCTTAAATTCATAACGTCTAAGTACCATAGCGAAGAGGTCATCCGAACCGTTACCATGAAAGTATTTATAGAAAAGCCACAGGAAAGCTACATTACGGCTGTGGGAAAGTAACTGAAGCCAAAACGCCAAGACAAGAACAATAACATTGCTGATTCTTCTTTGGATTTTATCAAGAATCTCTAAATATACAGCAGGAGCACCAGACCATACGTGGCAGCAATATTCTAAGCATGGACGAATGGTAAAAGTTTTTGATATGTAAGATTCTGGAGAGAAATTTGTCTAGAACAGTGAACAGACTTTCTTAGCAGCTGACGTAGCAATGGATTCAATATGGCCTTTCTACTTCAAGTCAGCTGAGAAGGTGCAACGAGTCACTTTCCTGGAGATTAATGTCTGCCACGCCGATGGAAGGCAGAGATGGATCACTCAAGTGATTTATGGAGATAAATATTAAGGTTCTGTGACCAAAAGGGGGATAAGAAACAATTAGTGTAGTGCGCAAAAGAAAAATGAGACGTTATAAATGTTTATTCAGTTCTAGATTAGTACGGCAAAGAAACAAATAAAGTAGCCGGAAGATTATGTTGCGCCAAATGTGGAAGCCCTAGCCGCCTTAAACCTCTCCATTCCAACTGTTCAAGTCAAAAGACAACCGTTATCTTCCCCATATATCCCCATAAACTGGGGCACTTAGATGTAGTGCAATGGTTAGAAAGTTGGTCTTGCTAGAACAATGACAACTGAGTAGTGAATTCGATCCTCACTGGGTGCTCCACACTTTCAGCCTTGTGCCATATCTAAGCTACGCTTATAAAATCATTTTGGGCACCTAGACGTGGTGTAATGATCAGCAAGTCTGTCTAGCTAGAACAATTACGACTGAGTAGTGAGCTGGATACTCGTTGAGTGCTCCACACTTTTGGCCTTGTGCCATATCTAACATACTCTTATAAAATTACAATATATCACCATAAACTGCACCTCTTACTCTGTAACACTCTACCTCGAGTGGCTCTTCGACCTTGTACAGGGTGAACATCATAGCTAAAAATAAAAGTGGTAGGTTTCACTTCGACTCGAGCACTGACTTTTGCGAATTGGAAAAACACAAGTGGCGCCATGTTATCTTCCTACAGCTAATCCTCCCCTCAAAAGGTTGGTGAGAGAAAAAAAAATTCTACTAGTATAGAGAGAAAGAAAATAAAGAGAAAAAGCATAATTTTAACAAACAAAATGAAAGGAAAAGAAAAAACACAGTGAAGAGAAAATAGACGGAGAAAATAAGGGATAGGACAGAAAATCTTTTTTTTTTTTTTTTTTTTTGAATTGATAGACATTATTTGTTCTCTGTATCCTATTCTTTTCCGGTTTTTTTGTTTTTCTGGGTTTTTTTTTTTTTTTTGTTGTTGTTTTTTTTTTTTTTTTGGAGTGGGGTTGTTTGCATTTTTTATTTATTTATTTTTTTGGTGGGGTCGGTTCATCATGTCATTATTGTTAATAATGATCGCAATGTTCATTATGACAATTACCATGCCTGCTACATCTTTCTAACTGAAGAACGAATTCGGCCGCTAATGTAAAAAAAAAAAAAATAGGATAAAATGTGTCAAATTCGACGGTTAATATATCAGCTAGAATACAAGCGCAACATTCCAGTTCTCTTTTTACTAAGAAGTCTTGGCTTTTCGAAGCAAAACAATTTCACTGGTCATCTACCTTTCAAAGAAGATGTAAAATAAATTTAAAAGCGTTGGAGGAACAGGGACAAGCTTCGTCCGGAGGTTCATTCAATTTTCGAGTCCAAGACAAAGAAATAGGCAAGTATCGTTCTCATCCGTTCGTTAAAAAAAATTTGAACAGACACGCTGAAAATAACATATATCAATTGTTTCGTTTCTAACCTATTATTTATCATTTCATATTTATAGATAGATAGATAGATCATGGCATTTTATAAATTTGCTATCATTTTTAAATAGATACATAGATAACGAACACAGATAGATATATATATATATATATAGATAGATAGATAGATAGATAATAGACATAGATCATGCATTTTCTAAATTTGCTATCATTTTTAAATAGATATACAGATAATGAACAGAGATATTTAGATAGGTAGATAGATAGAATATATGAATATATATATATATATATATATATATATATATATATATATATATATATAAAGAGAGATATACTTATTACAGTCCAGTGTTGTAATTACTCTACCATCTTTCAAATGATGCTATTGTCGCAACAGTCCCAAAACATTTAATCTGAATGTGCTTTCTATTAATACTATAATGCCCTTAGGAAAAATTAATTACAAACGATTTTCATAACTATCTTATACCTTTTATTTCTTTATCTCTATGTCTCTCTTTCTCTCCTTCTCTATCTATCTATCTATCTATCTATCTATCTATCTATCTATCTGTCTCGGCCTATTCGTATCTATCTAGATCTTTTCGTATCTTACTGTGTGTGTGTGTGTGTGTGTGTGTGTGTGTGTGTGTGTGTGTGTGTGTGTGTTAAATGCATCGGACTCTTTAGAAAAGGTTCCAAACAACCTTCCAAGTGACTTTGACTCGTAATCCTTTAGCTGTTAAAGAACGTCTAATTTTCCAGGCTTTAATTTTCTTAAAATATAAACCCTGGTTGTCAACAGATGTATCGACCCAAGATGCGAACAACGAATTGTTGAGCAAGCAAGTACAAAAATTTAAATGTCTAGGAAATGTTTTAACAGAGAATGAAAAACACGACACCAAAATCCGAAGACCCATTGGAATAAAACCTAAGCAAAATATCGTAGATTGTGGCGTACAAGTCGAGTTTTCAAGCCTAAAAATATTTTGGGGTCGAGTTTTGACGCCTTAGAAAAATATTTTTTGGGTCACTGGTAACCTCCTGTATATTTGGTGTCAACCTATGCAATGTTAGGTATAAGTATAACTCAGAATTTTGAGTTAAAATCTTGAGGTCGACTTGTACTCCAGGTCGACTTGCACTCCAGGTCGACTTGTACGCCACAATTTACGATATTAAGAAACAGGAAAATTTCGTCAGAAACAAAAAAAGAAGTATTGAACTGTTATGCAATATCGGTCTTCCTATATGTCAGTGAATACTGGACCATCTCCTTACAGACGAAGAAGAGACTTGAAACAATAGATATGTAGTTCTACAGAAGGATGCTGATGATACTATAGACTGAACATGTGTGTAATGAAGAAGTTTTAAGAAAAATGAAAACAAAAGGACGCTTATACTTAGAATCTGAAAGAGACAGCTGGAATTTCTAGGGGAAATGTTGAGGAAAGAGGGCTTGGAAAATTTGACACTCACAGGGCAGATTAACGCCAATAGGAGCAAGAGAAAGCTGCGAATAACTTACCTAAATGCAAATGGTTGGTAGAACAGGAATTAGGAAAGATAGCAAAAAGAAAAACCTTACTAAGATCTACAAACGACACGAAGTTGTGGAGATCTATGATCGACCACGTCATGAACAATCCTGAAAAAACTTCCATTACCTGAAAATTTATTGTCATTCATGATGATTAAATCTGATTTTCGAACAGAATTTCATTATTTTTTCTCTATGACAGATTCTTGTTTTTGTATATACCTTTTAGTTTGTATGGTCAAGTCGTAGATATTTGCACAGTTTCTAGTGGGCGAGTGTTCCCACCCATACATGCGTACTTTTGTACTATTTTGCAGCATTAGCTCATTGCATATTAACTTTATGCTTCTTTGTTCTTCTCTTACCTTTAGCATATCCTTTGAGTGATAAATTCTCTACGCATTCTTTCCTCATTATGTGTCTCCAAAATTTCGGCTGCCTTTCTCTGTGAGCACCAATTTGCTTGTCGCCCCTTAAAATATCTCCCTTGCTCATATACAGTATCCATAGTATTCTCAATATCCATCGATAGAACCATCATCTCTGTCGATTCGACTTTATCCTTCATCAGTGATGAGAGTGTCCCACATTCATTGCTATACACGAGTACTGATGTCACATAGCAGTTCAGCACTAGTTCTTTAATGACTTGAGCGGTTATGGCTCTCCACTACTTCCTTTCCCTTGTAGCTCTAAGCAACGTTTAACCTGTTACCATACTTTCTTGTCCCTGCTCTGTCATCCATTTACAAAAACTCGACAGATAGATTACTTGCCGCCTCCTCTACCTATTCTGCCTTCTATGCTCTGTAAGTATTAAAGTCTCCTGGCCTTCTTTCCTCATTATGCGTTCCAGAAACTTTCAACTGTTTCTTTCTGGTTCTAAATACTCGCTGCGTCTTCCTGGCTTACATTCTTGGCTGATATTAAATGGAAGGATTATATTAGATCCATGGCTAGGTCTGCTGCTAAGAAAGTTGATTCACTGTGTTGTGCAAGACAGTTTTTTTCTCCCTAGAATTTATCTTACAATATTTATTCGTCCATGCTTTGAATGTTTCTGCTGCATATGGTCTGCAGCTCCTGCTGTTTGTTTATGATGAGTTAGAAGCCATTATTAAACTGCAAGATAAATAATACGACCAGAATTAATAAAGTTTGCATTGAAAAGAGAAAAAGTAGAAAAGATGAAACATCAACAACCATGCAAGCAAGAAAACAATATACTTAAAGCAAATCAAAATTGATAATTCACAAACTAGGAGTTGGTGTTTGTACACAAAAGCAAGGTCGACCATGTCTGCCTCGCCTTACATACTTGATTCCCTGATAGCTATAATCTACAAATATTCAAATGTAATGTCAATTGACATCTTCTGGTGCTTTGATCTTTGATCCCCCTCCTTCTCTATATCCTTTACCCAAACATCCCTCTTTACTCTTACTCTCACTCTCTGTAACCCCCTTGCGTGGTAGTGGCACTCCCGCCTTGCTTGGGGCGAAATACTTAAAAAAAAAAAAAAACATACATATTGTTTTATGATAAATCGCTTTCATTTTATTGTTTTTGGTTTTACAGTAAAGTTCACGCTGTACAAGGCCCGGGGGCCACTCGAGCAAGAGGGTTACGTTCAAGGGTAGTTTAAATGGATAAGGAGGGGATGATAACGGTTAACTCTTGATGATTTAGAAGCTATTATTAAACTGCAAAAGATAAATAGCACGATCAGAATTAATAAAGTTTGCAAAAATGAAAAGAAAAAGGACAAAAAGATGTAACAGCAACAATCATTCAAGCAAGCAATATAGTTAAAAAGCAAATCAAACTTGATAAGAAGGCAAAAGAATTCACAAACTCTGAGTTGGTGTTTGTACACCAAAGCAAAAGTCGGACAAGCGAACACAGTATGTCTGTGTCACTGTTATTCCACTAACCAAACAGTTAAGTCTCTCTAAAGAATTGTTCGGAAAGGAACAAGGAATACAAAGGGTACTTATTTATAACATAACACACTCATTATCATCATCATTCATTATCAAATTACGCAACTACTTGCTTCACCTCTCGTTTTTTCTTTGTTATTATTATTATTATTATTCCTTTGATTTCTGGTGTGTACACATTACCTAAGGTTAGAAATGTCATCATGGCACTGACCAAAAAAAAAAAGAAAAAGAAACACAAACCTATTTTATATAAATAAAACCCTTCGTAAGGTGTGGACTGTAAGCGTGAGAACACTTTTTGTATTTCTTTAAGGCAAGGCTCCAGGAATCCCTTCAATTAGTCTGCTGAATTTTTTCCAACCAATCTGAGGGCTCCAACTAAAACAGGGATTGTTGATGTTCACCTGTGCCACATTTTTTTAGATTTCCACTTCAAGGTCCTTGTATTTTGATAGTTTTTTGGAAGATCTTCAAAGATATATTACATATTTCCTTTTATTTCTGTTGTATACACATTTCATTCTGTGTCCCAACCAGAGACCTAAGCTTAGAAATGGCTTCATTATTATTATTATTATTATTATTATTATTATTATTATTATTATTATTATTATTATCTGCCGCAAGGTTTTACGTTTTCAACGGGAAGTCAATCAGGAGATCAGTGTATTTCTTAGACTTGTAATTTTAGACTTGATGTCGTGGTGACCACAAAATCCACATTGTTTTCTTGTTTATTTTTTTTTATTTTGTTTTGTTTTTTTTATTTCTATTTTTTTTTTTTTTTTTTTAACAACGATGGTGTCTGGTTTAGTGGTCTCAATGATATAGGTCTGTTTAGATATTGAAATTCCACAAAATCTCGACTTGGTCGTTTTTGGTTACCTTTTTTTATTATTATTATTATTATTCAAACACATTATGCTGGTTGCTGATAAGATCTTTATTTCAGTTCGTGACGTAAGATAAGTCCTTTTGACTATATATATAAAATGCCATCTATAAATACCTCTAAATAAATAAGTTGTCCTAGCCAGATTAGTGATGGTGGGAATAAGCTGCCACTGTCTCTATAGAATGATGCCGGCGCATGCGTCTCAAATGCGAAGGCAGAAAACAGGCGTCTCATTACCAGCTGCATCGGATAAATGGAGTTCGACAGCCCAGAAAGTCCACCTAGGGGGAAGAAAACCCTGATTTTAAACCTCCGCTGCCTTGCGGTCATATTCAAAAACAGAAAGACTATGGAAGTAAATCCAGACAGAAATTTCAGAGTGGAGCCCTGAAGTTGGTTGGGAGTCAACAATGACAACTTTCCAAATGTAATGCACTGTATTCCTTAGGTTACTGTCAGTATGGCCGATTTGGGGGGTGGTTATGTAGTCTGAGCAGCATACGTCTTCCATATACCATCGCCCAGGCCTTTGACTTTGAGAGGTCACTCGATGTTCTCCAGCAAAGGACTGAATTTTGAACAAACAGGAACTGGCTTTTATCTTGCATGAGATAATGGATGTCCAAAATTATAAATAACATCAAATAACATATATATATATATATATATATATATATATATATATATATATATATATATATATATATATATATAAGTAACTAAACTCGTTTCGGAAAACCCTCGAGTTTTTGATTTGCCAATAATCAAATCAATTTCGAGGGAACCAGCTTTCCCTGACGATCCCTTTAGGTGAAACCTGGGTAGGTTTGTCTGGCTCACTAGATTTATATTATATATATATATATATATATATATATATATATATATTAAAAAGAAAAGAGATATCGCAAATGTTTTTGGTTGTAATATGGATTTTTTCTAAAAATATTATGCTTTATTTTCCATAATTTTACTACACGTGTTTCTGGTCTCGCGACCGTCATTAGATAAAGGGTGGAGATTTCCATATATTATTAAAAATAATTAATTTTTTTTTTCTCCTTTATGTTTTTCGATGTTAAATATTCTCGATATGAGACTGCCAGTTCAAGAAAGACATTCGGATTACTAACACAAAAAAGAGAATGTTTCATTTTCAAGCGACTTTTGGAATAACTTATTTTGAAATACCCTGTAGATTTGCATTTAGCACTGTTTT